TTAATCTATAGCTATAAGGAGTAATAGAGATAGGGTAAAGGGACCTATATCTCTCTAGTTATCTAGGCTAGTAGTATTATAGCTTAAAGAGTAAGTAGAAGAGTTAGTTAGGCTAGATAAATTAGTAGCTAAGTAAGTATTTTATATTATATTTTTACTATTATAGACTTCTACCTTAGTTAGTCTAATAAGATAATATTCTATAATATAAAGTAACTATTAAGCTAGCCTAGGCTTAGATTAATAGCCTTTAACTTAGCTATCTAGCTACCTAATTATAATTATAATATTAACCTTATAGTCTTCTATAAAGGTATATATCTTTTTAATTATTTTATATTACCTATTTACTAAGCTAATAATAAGGTCTTTATTAACTCTTAAGTATAGCTAATAAGGTATTTTTATTTATTATTAGAAAGTATAGGAAAAGATTATACCTAAAATTAAGAAGAAAAGGTAAAAATAATAGTCTTTTTTACTTATAATAGCCACTAAAGGCTATTACTCTATAACTAGCCTTATATCTATAGCTCTACGGTATTTAAGTAGCCGCTAGCTACCTACTAGGGGGCTAGAGAATAGCCTATAATCGCCACACTTATAACTAGATATACTATAAAAGGGGCTACTCTATATATAGTAAAGGCCTATATTTAGCTAAATAAGGACTATTTAAATAAATTTCTATTTTAAAGAGTATATTACCTAACTTTAAATTATACTAAAAATAATAATATTAGTTTTTAGTAGGTAATAGTTATATATTATTAAAAAGTAGATATATAAGAATAGTAAAGTAAAATTAATAAATAAGATATATTATAATATAATATAGATATAAACTTATTATATATTATTTCTTTTCTTAGACTTATTATCTCTTTTATTCTATTATAAGCTATAAAATTATATATTATAAATCCTTAAGTATCCTTTATTAAATATATCCTATACCCCTTAGTAATTCCTTACCTAGGTACTATATAAATAGATATACTTATTTTTATTATTATCCTCTCTAGTAATATAATTATTATACTACTACTAACCTTTTTCCCTAGCTAGAGAGAGATCTAAAAGTAATTAGTACTATCTACCCTAGTAAATATTATACTACTTAGCTTTAGGGGGCGTGATATTCTTATTAACACACTAAATATACTATAATATTAGTATTATAGCCTATATATTATTATTAATATTATTATTACCCTTAAGGTAATATTATATATAACTATAACTATTATTCTATAGCCTAGGCCTAGTTAGCTAATAAAGTCTAGCTATATTATATATAACTAATAATATACTAAATATATTAAGACTAGGCTAATATTAATATATATAGGCGTTTAGACTACTAGGTAGTGTTATATTACTTATAATATTATTTATATAAAGGTATTTTAGTTAGTAATTCCTCTTAATATATTAAATAACCTATCTTAATAATATAATAATATTACTATAATATATAATATAAATAATATTATCTTATAACTATCTCTTATTATAGCTAAGTATTACTTTATAGTTATTTACTAGCTTATTTTATATTATCTAGGTATTACTATACTTTATAGTTATAAAAGTTAAGTACCTCTTAGAGATAACTAATATATTACTCTATATTATTTACCTTACTTAGGTAGTAAAGCTCTATCTAAGCTACTATTTCTATCTATATTTCCCTTAAAACTTCTATACCTTTCTTAGTTTTAGTAAATATAACCTTCTCTAGAGCTTTATAGTTATAGCTCTTTAGTATCTTATAAAAGAGCTACGCCTTATATCTAGTATTAACTTCTTATTATCCTAATATAGTTATTATATAATAATAATATCTAAATTAGGTAAAGGTAGTTATATCTTACTTAATAGTCCTTATAGATAAGACCTTATTCTTAAATAGTAAGAGAATATTATTCTAATAGTAAAGGGTATAGGAATTATAGGTATATTATATATTACTCTAGATCTAGCTATTTAATAATTTTATAATAATAATATAAAAGATAAAATTAAAGAGCTAAAGAGACTAACCTATAAGACTCTAAATTTAATATAAAGTAATTATTATCTAAGAGAAATTTTAAAGCTATACTAGATTAAACTCTTTTAAGATATAATAAAAAAGGTTATTATATTTTAGTTACTTAAGAAGAATTCTTAAATAGATTAGGTATAGAAATAAATAAATAAGTTATAAAGGCTTAACCTATATAATATTAGTTTTTACTAAGAGTTTTAGCTATAATTAATATAATACTAACTAAGTATAAAGACTTATTATTACCTACTATAAGTATAATAAGCCTAGAGTAGGCTTTAAGCCTTTCCTAACCTCTACTTACTAGATATATTTAGATCTAAATAGTAAGATACCTTTTAATTAGTTAATTATATTAAAAATTAAAAAAGAGAGGTACCACCTACCTAGCTATATAGTAGTAGTAAGTAAGTACTTATAGATTTTATTACTAGGTAGTTAACTAATCTATTAAGTTTATAATAATAGTAAATTTAAGTGGTCTTATTTATAACATAGTCCTAAAGTGTCTAGGTAAAGAGCTAGTATAATACGTTAAGTCTACCTACTAACCTAGAGAGCTAGTAAGTCTAGAGGCTATATATATAGGCTATAACGGCGCTATATAGTTATATAAGATTCTAACTATCTCTAGGCTAAGGAAGATATATTCTATAGCTTCTATATCTAGCCTATACTTAAATAAATAATTATTTAATTTAATTTTAACTTAAGAAATTTAAATATATATTAGTCTAAGTTATATAAATTAGTTTCTACTTTATTTTTCTCTCTAAACTAGTATTAATAACTTTAATATAACTAGTTAGTCTATTTATAATTATATTTATATTACTTATACTATATATTTTTTATACCTGCTTTTTAGCTAGCTATAGCTATATAGCCCTTAGCTTTATTAGGAGAATAATAGAGAAAGTAAGTATATAATAATTACTATAATATCACATCCTCTTAAAGTAACTTTCTATAAGGCATAGTATATTAAGTAAATAGATAGGATATATAATTACTAAAAGTAACTTAAAAATTACTACTAAAGGCTTTTAGGTATAATATAATAAATAACGCCTTAAGTATATAGTCTTATATTAAATAGTTATATAAAAAAATTAAATATCTATAAAGTAGATATTAATAAAAAAATTATATAATATTTATTTTTAAAGAAAAATAAAAAAAAAGAAAAGTAAATATTAATTCCTACTACTATTTATTAATTATTCTATAGCCTCTATTATTTAGTAATAATAACTAAAGTTATAGTAATTTTATTTATTATAATAAGGCTAAGTAATAATAGATAAAGGACTATATATAGGTAGCCTATCTTAAAGAGTCTCTTTAGTAGGTTTAAACTTAGTATACTTTTACTAAGAATATAGTATATTAAAATAAATATAAAAATTAAAAGTAAGATTTAAAAATAATAAAACTATTAAAAATAATATTTATAGTACTATAAAGATAAGCTATAGTACTATTAGGGTAATAATATAATATATAACTATAAGGAAAATTAGTAAGATAGCTAACCTTTAAACCTTTAATAAGTAATATATTAAAATTATAGGCTTATTCTTATATAGTTCCTAAAAAGACATTTATAGGAAATTAAGGAAGATAGGCGTTAAATCTACTATAAAAACTATTCTATAGACTATCTTAGTTATAATAAATACTACCTTTATATAAGGAAATAAACTTATTATAATAATAAAAAAGAAGAAATTACTAATACTAAATAAAAAATAGTTAAATACCTATTTAGAAGCTAATATATATATACTACTAAAGGTAAACTACTACTACTTTAGTTAACCTATAGCCTTATATATAAATAATACCTCTATACTATTACCACCTAAGTTAAAAGAGTCTACCCCTAAAGTAGATACTAGTACTAATAATAAAGCTAAAAAGGCTACTAAAGCTAAAGCTAAGAAGGCTACTAAAACTAAAGCTAGTAAGGCTACTAAAACTAAAGCTATAAAGGCTACTAAAGCTAATACTAAGAAGGCTACTAAAGCTAAGGCTAAGAAGGCTACTAAAGCTAAGGCTAAGAAGGCTACTAAAGCTAAGGCCACGAAAGCTACTAAAGCTAAAGCTAAAAAGGCCGCTAATACTAAAGCCTATAAGGCCGCTAAGGCAAGGAAGAGGGCTATAGAGAACCCTAATAAAGTTAACGTTAGAGAATAGAGATTTAACTAGAGAGAGCTAGGCCTAAATAGTAAGTATATATATAATACTTATCTAGGTAAATTCTCTAATACTAGAAAAATAGTTCTATTAACTTATTTAAATAATACTAAACTAAAAAGATCTATATAATATAAGAATTATAAGATAATAATTAAATACTAGACTAGTATAGGCTATTTACTTATTATAGACCCTTAAACTAACTATTTAAAGCTCCCCTATACTAAGGTAAGCTATCTAATATAATAATCTAATTATATAACTATAACTACTACTTTCTAGGATATTATAAATACTATTATACTATTAAGCTTAAAGACTAGCTTAGATAAGAAAGCTTTAATAGATTTTATCTAGTAGATAGTAATATATAATAGAAGACTATATTATATATATAGTATTTTAGATAGTAAGTTAATACTAAGACTCTTTACTTAGACTATACTAAAAGATACTTTTAGGAAAGTAGTAGATTACTAAATTAATAAAATTAGGGAGTCTTTTAAGTAACTTAACCTTATATCTCTTAAGGCTAAGAGAAAGATATAGTTAGCTTTACTAAAATTAAACTAATAAAACTAGTTAAATCTTTAAGAATTAATAAATATATTACCTAATTATTCTTCCTATTATTACCTTATTTATTAGTTTTTAAGGCTAAGTAAGTAAATACTTTAGTATAAAAGCTATATATATAAGACGTTTTTACTAGTAAGTTAAGTTAATAAGATAATAAAATAACTATCTAGGCTTCTAATTTATAGTTATAAAGTAAATAATTATTAATTTCTACTTACTCTTATTATCTATTTAATTTAATTAATAAAGAAAAGAGTAAATAACTCTTTAGTCTAGGTCTAGTATAGTATTTATAGTAGTACTTACTAATTATAGTACTTAGGACTATAGTATTTAATAGTAATATATAGAAGATCTATAATAGAAAAGGCCTTAAAGTAACGCCTCCTAACCTTAATATAACTATTATTCTTATATTAACTATTAGTCTAGATATATAATAATATAATATAATTATTTAAGGTAAAAGTTACTAATTAGAGAATTAACTAAAAGCTAATAATTAGTACTTTATTATAGATTACTACCTATTTTATAAGCTATATATATTTAGAAGAGTTAATATTATACTAATAGTAAAGTATATTAGTATTAGCCTAAACTAGTCCTTAGTAAAGCCACTAGTATAGTATACCCCTCCTTAGTAGTAAGCTACTCTATACTTAGCCTTACTACTAAACTAGAGCCTAAACCTAACACTAATATCTCCTTATTTCTATACACCTACTATAATACTAACCTCTTCCACTATAGGCTAAATATTTAGCCGTTATTATCTATATTCTAGTTAACTAGTTACTTACTCTCCTATAGCTTAAAAGAGAGTTTCTCTAATATATTAAGAAAAGTTAATATATTAGCTAGTATATTAAATAAAAGAAAAAGGAACTTAAAATAACCTAGTAGGAAATTCTAAACTTAAAGTAGCCTAAGTTAAGTCTAGGCCTAGATAAAGGACTAATTATTACTATAGTTAAAGCGCCTACCTAAAAAGGATATACTAGTTAAGACTATATAATAGTAGAGAGCTAGACGGCCCTAGACCTTAGGACTAGTATAATAAACCCTACTTAAAGATAGTAGTAAGGGAAGATATAGTTAAATAATAGTAGCTTACCTTCTTTTTCTAATTTATTCTATTTTTAAAGATATATAAATATAAAAACTATATATATATACTAATATTATAAAATTAATATACTTCCTTTAGATATAGCTAACTTTAGAAGCTATTATTAAAATATCTAACTCCTTTTACCTTATCCCCTTTTAGGGCTAAGTATCTATCTTAAAAAGCTTAATTAAATCCCTTACTAATATAAATTATATACTTAGAATAAGTTATAGTATAATTAATCTACTTCTATATAACCTCTCTAATCTTAATTAGAGGTTATTAGACCTTATAGAATATATAGAAGAAACTATCTATATATTTAAGAATAAGGTTTATTTATAATATATCCTTACTTATATCTACTAAAAAGGATAGTTATTAACTACTAAATAGCTATTACCTTATTTATTATTAGTACTTACCTAACTATAGGCGTCCTAGGCTAGGATAGGATAGTATATAACCTGCTTTAAAGATCCTAGTTATTATTAATAAGTAAAAGAAAAGGCACTACTAGTAATAAGTTTTAAAGGTAGAAATAAGTAAATATAAAATAAAGTAAATATTATAACCTATAAATTACCCTTTATATATAATATAAATATACTAAGTACTTAAGTAGATTATAATTATAATAGTTTTATTAGGAACTTATACTATAACTTAGGGGTCTTAAGGTAATTATTAGCTTATAGATAGAGTAGGTGCTTTAATATACCTAAATTAAAACTTATTAATAGTTCTACCTTTATTTTTAAGTAAGTAGTTTTATAGTATAGTTTAGGTAAGAATATATATAATTAGTTATATATTATAAACCTTAAGAATATTACTATTAATCGCTATTATTAGTTACTATAGCTTAGGTAGTAAACTAGGCTAGCTAGTAAGATAGCTAGTAAGAGCACTAACGAGGAATTCTCTAAGGGATATAGTATAATTTTTCACGGCTCTGACGGCTATGATGACTAAATCGCTAAAAGGCCCACGAAAACGGACGTACCGCACGTCGCGGGGTTGTCGATGTGAGAAAAAGGGTCGCTCTAGATCCTAAAGCCGTGTGCAGAAGAAGAGCGTGTTAGTGAGCCGCCGCCAGGCGTACGCCTTTTAGCGTCTAGGAGCAGCATAACAGGTAATAGGTAGTATTATTAAGTACTAATTTTATTAGGAGCCTACCTAGCTACTAATTAGTAATAACATTATTTAGGAAGTAAAAGACTAGGTTATTATTATATTTAGCTTAGATATATAGTATAAGGAGGTAAGAAAGCTAAGGTTAATTTAATATATAAATATAACTAAGAGTAAATAATAGTAAATAGTATATAGCTATATACCTAGTTTATTACTAACTAGTATTTTATACTATACTAAATTAACTCCTAAAAATTCGTCTTAGCTATAATAATATCTTCCCTATTATATAAGGCCCCTCCTAGCGTAAACATATCTAAACCTATTATATAGATTATATAGAACGTCTTAGTATACTAGGCGTACTTTACTTTATACTATTATAGTTAAACTTATCCCTCTTTTATTTCCTCCCTACCTTAGAAAGTTTAGATAATTACTTATATTTAGGTAGTGGTAGGATGGTTACCTAATTAAAATTAATTACTATCACATGGCATCACTTAGTGTTCTAAAGTAGGTTTAACTTATATTTATCTTAGTAGTTTATACTATTCTTATAAATTATTTATATAGATTACTATACCTCTTATTTTAGATTTAATAGCGCTAGATCTATTACCACCCTAGCCTATAATATTAACATTATATAGATTATATATACACTACTAGGTAAGAGGTAGCTAAGATAGAATAAGCTATACCTAGGTATATAGGCACTATATTACCTTAAAGCTTTTTAAGTCACTAATAGATACTATACTTATACTCTAGGCGCCTTAGACGCGTAGATATAGTGCCTTTACTAATAAAAGTGTAGCTAAAGCGTACTAGTTCTAACTTAAATAGTACTCTACTAGAACTATATTTACACTAGCTAATAAGGGTATTATAACTCTTATATAAGTCCTAATATAGCTACTTACTTATAAGTTTAGTTAACTCCTAAGTATTAATTAGGTAATATATATTACTACTAACACTATAATAAAGTATATTAGGGTACCTACTATCTAGTTTATAACCTAGCTTAAGGCTAAGAAGGTAGGCTTATATATAGTATTATTTTATAAGCGCTAGAGTAAAGCCTTTAGTGCCTCTTTCTTTACTCTTCCTACTAGAGTCCTTCTCTCCCTTATTAACACTAGCTCTTACTCTATACTAGCGTTAATAGCCCTCTACTCCGCCTTCTTTATCCTCATCACGCGACTTAAGAGGCGCCGTAGAATCCTTACACGACTTCGATCGTAAAGGGTATTTTTAAGCCACCAGGGATGCATCATAAGCAAAGGATTTATCTATGCCGCGCGAGGGCATAGATAAAGATAAATCTATATTATCTAACTCTTATAGAGTAACTAGGTCTATATAAGCTTCCTTTTTCTATTTTTTTAGAATACCCTTAGCCTAGTTTATTACCTCCTTAAGTAGATGGCCTATAAGCGCCTAAGAGTAGAGGCTTAATAGATAAAAGCTAGTAAGCTAAGTAACTATAGTCTAAGATATTTATTTAATATAAAGCTTAGCTATTAGTTAAATCACTATTTTATCTAGTATATAAAAGTACTAGTATAAAATAAGTAACTTTACTTAGTTATAATAAAAAAGCACTAAAGATTTTCTAGTAGTAATATAGCTATATCTAACCTTATACTATAATATATAATTAAAGACTTATATTAGTACTATAGTAATCTACACTACTTCTTACTCTTTTATTTAAAGTGTTAAGTTTATTTTATATTATTTAGTCTATGCCTACTTATAGATATTTATAAATAGTGTCTCCTTTTTAAGAGTAGCCTTAAGATCCTCTATAATAAACTTATATATAGCCTTATAATTATATATAAAAGCTAGGCTCTTATTTTTATCTATACCTATTTAAATACTACCTCTATTAGGTTATTACTTTCCCCTCTTTATTTTTATTTTAGCTCTAATATCTTTATTAAGGTCCTTAAAGTTATAAATACTATTTATAAATATAAGATTTATAATTTAGTACTTCTAGCGTAGCTCCCTATTAGCCTAAATAGGCTCTAGAATTATCTATATAGGGTCTTTAACCGTTATTTTTTTAAAGTATTTAATAATATTCTTATAACTAGCTTTTTTTTACTTAAAATTAATTCTATTATCTCTTATTATATTAGCTTATTAAAAAAGACACCTCTTACTATAAATATAGATAATATTATTAAAGTGTTCTTATTACTAGCTATTAGTAAAGGTATACTAAGGGTAAAGCTATCTAAGATAATATTTACTATTAACTAATATTACTAAGCTAGTAAAGCTCTCTAATAGACTAGTAAGCCTAAGTTTTTAGTATAGATTAAAGTGATAATTATATAGATACTTTATTAATATTATCCTTTAGTTTTTATATTACTTATTATCCTCTTATGCCTTTACTTCTTCCTTTTTATATCGCTTATTCTCCTTATACGCCTTTACTTCTTCCTCTTATGCCTTTACTTCTTCCTTCTCGTGTTACTTATTCTCTTTTTATACCTTTACTTACTACAGCTGCCTTTTAAGCTCCTAAATTCTACCTTTAGATATTATAGTTATTAGTATAGGTAGGATTAAAGGCAGGACTAGAGGCAGGATTAGAGGTCTACTAGGCAATAAATAAAGTAATTAATATATAATATTAATTAGGTAAGGTTATAGGGCTAGTCTATAGCGGCTATCTAGGGTTCCCTACTATAATAGTAAGTACTTACCTAGATATATATTAGAACCTATTATAGCCTTAGGCCTATATACTTATCTTTAGTCTAGCTTACTTACTAATTAGTCTCTTAATTAATAATAAAAGATAGCTTTAATTATTACTAGCTAATATAATTACTTATATAATATAAAGTCATCTAGTGATTAAAAGGGGTTAATATAAATTACGATAACGTAGTGTCTATAAATCTAAAGTAATAGAGTATATAGGAGACTCTCTTAAAGTAGAGTAAATACCGTAGTACTACTAAGGCATAGCCGTCTACGGCCTTACACGTTTAAGTAAAAATCATAGATAAAGGAGCTACTCCCTATAGGGAATTAGCTAGCTATATACTAAGCTAGTTTAAAAATAGTTTTACTTATATACCTAGCCTACTAGGTAGTAGCTTAATAGGTAGAGTTATAAGCCTGCCCTACTATATAGATATTATATAATTAATACTTAGTAAGTGAATAAGTTATAGCTAATATAAGAATACTACTAAGTTTTATATTATATATTTTATAAATTTCCTTTTAAGGTTTATTACTATATATTCTTATTACTCTATTACTTTCCTTACTAGAATAACGCCACCTTATAATATAAGCTAAGTGTTAGAAAAACTACTATTTACTTTATATAAGCGTAGTCTATTAGTAATTTTAAGTAATAGCTAAATTAATTACGCTATAGATATAAAAAGGATCTTAATAACTATTTAAACTTTAGAGTAACGTAAAAAGTATAGATTATTCTTATATAATATTCTACGTAAATATAGTCCTATAGCTATTTTAGTCTATACTCTTAGTCTTAGATAAGGATATATTATAGACTTAATAGATCTAAAACATATAAATCTCTATTATTTAATCTTAGAAAATAAAAACGTAATTAATTATCTAACTATTAAAGTATTAGTAGTTATAAATTAAATACCTATATTAGTTAATAGTAATACCCTCTATCCCCCTTTTAATTACTAAATATTAACTTAAGCTAGATTAGATATCCCTTTATTACTACTAAGTAGCTAAGAGCTAGACATCTATAAATAGCTAAATAAATGTTACTAGCTACCTAATTATATAACTAAAATGACTATAGACCTAATACATAACCTTAGGTCTAGGCTAGAAGTCTACTAAAGACTTATTTATATCCCTAGTTTATAGAAATAGTAGGTAATTAAAAACGCTATAATAGAAGGAACTAAGTATATATTTAGAGAGGAGTTATGTTATACTATTAGAAAAGTATATACCTATAGTTAGATAAAAGCTTTAGTAATAATAGTACTACCTAAATAAGGTAGACTAGTTAATTACCTTATAAGCCTTAATATCTATAAGGAGGAGGTAGATTAGCTTACTTTAGCTCTTTTTAATATAAAAGTAACCTAGGTATAATAGGGTTTATACGTCATCCTATATAATAAGTTCATAATTATTTTAATATATGCTAAGACTAAAGTTACTCTTAAGGGAGCTATAGATAAGACTATTATTAATATATTTAGTTTATAAACATATAACGCTATTAATAAGAGTTATATATATAAAAGGGAATAGGAAGTAGGTAAGTAGTTAATATATTATATTTCTATAATTATTATAAAAAGTAAGACTATTATTAATATCTCCCTTAGCCTAGAGAGTGGTATTTAGATATAAAATATACTATATATATAGTATATTATTATAATTACTTTATTTATATTTTAAGTTAAATTTCTCTAACTTTTCTATTTATAATATATAGCTTAGTTCTTAGTAATACTAACCCCTATCCTTCTAGCTAGTTCTTAAGCTTTATTATCTACTCTTTACTATTACTAGTAGTCTTATAAATAGTAATATTATACCCTTTCTAATATATTATCTAGCCTCTACTAGTAATTATAATAGCTCTATTATTCCTAACTCCTATCTAGGTTATTAAGGTATTAAGTATTATAGGTGTAAATACCTAAAAATAAGTTAGATTAACTAATTTAGGCAGGAGAGTGATTTTACTATAAAGACGTAGTTACCTTAGGTAGGCTAGCTAGATAGTTAGGCTAAGCCTATCTAGATTTATACGTAATATATTAGGGATATAAAGGAACTACGTAAAGCTTAATAATAAGCGTTCCTTAGCTAAAGTTTAAGATAGTAGGTAATGTCTAGAAGTTTAGTTACTTAGTATAAATTAAATAAGGTTAGATACTATAGTGACTAATTTTAATAGAAATAGTGTAAGTACTGTGTTTCTATTATCCTAATAATAAGTAGGCTATTATATAAGTTTTAAGGAGAGAATAAAATAGGTTATGGGGCTAATAATATATAATTATAAGTTAGGTATAAAGTGCCTAAATACTAGCTATAATAGCCTAAAATATACTTCCCTCTAATCTATAAAAATAGTATAATACCTATAGTACTAAAAAAACCTCTTATTATAGTATTAGTGTTTATTTATTTATTATTTATTATGCCTAATGTTAGTATTTATTTTTACTATAAATATTACTATTTATCTATTAATAATTTCTCTATCTTAGTAAAAGCCTATAAAGTTACTATTTAGTGTTAAGATAGGCAAAATATCATACTACTCTAATAGGAGACTAGCACCTTATAACTTAAGGTAAAAAGGTTCTCTAGAAGTATCTAGGGAACTATTATATTAAGTATTTTGCTAAAGACTAAGCTATAGAAATAAGTAGACTACTAAATAAAGCCTAAACTTCACTTACCTATCTAACCTATTATTAGAAAAGAAATATTAGATTAATCCCTAAGGCTTTAGATAGTACTAATAGTCAATAGTTAGGCTATTTAATAAGTATAGTTATAAAATAGCGTTAGAAGTATTTACTCTCCTACACTATATAGACTATAGGTTTATAGGGTTTATAAAATATCTTACCTTATATCTAAGTAAAGTAAATTCTATAAGAGTTTCTTTTTTAACCTCCTATTTTCTTCTAATAAATAATTAGTCTAAATAAGCTATACCCGGTTTTACTAGTAACTTATTATAGCAGGCGGCAGAACTAGGCTCTATATACACGTCATTAGGGCAAAGTATATTAAGTCTAACCTTTATACGCCTATAATACTTTAAAATCTTCTATATTTTAGGCTAATATTAAATCTAGTAGTAATTTAGATAGTTATAGTTTATATAAACCTACGGTTTTCTAACCTAGGTCTTAGCCTTTTTATTACCCTAATTAATAAACTATAAATAAATATTTAGTACTTACTATAAAAAACTAGCCTTCTTAGCTAAGTAGGTAGTTAGACTAAGTATACTATTAGTAATAGGCTAGTGTCTAATCTTAGTAGAACTCTAACTTAGGTAAGTCACTTTATCTATTAATTTCACTAATTATATAAGCTACTATCTATAGCCCTAAGCTTACTAACTATACTTATAAGTAAACCTACTAATTACTTAACTTAAATAGTAAGACTAAGGGAATATAGTAAGAGATAGGTAGATAAGAGATATATAAGAAACATACTAAGGAATTTATTAAGAAGTTTATTAGAATTTATTAAG